GATTTATTAAATGCTAAAGCTGATATTGAAGCCCTGGTGGCGCAATGGTTAAGAGCTATGGCTGTTAACCAAAATGTCAGCAGTTCAAATCCAGCAGGCGCTGCTTGGAAACCACATGGGGCAGTTCTTCTCTGTCCTGTAGGGTTGCTATGAGTCAGAATCGTTTCGACAGGTTAAAGCTGATATTACTATGCAAAGCATTGACAGTACTGGACATCAGTTAACTCATTCTTAGTAAAGTCTTTATTACCTTCATAGAATCAAATACTATTAAGGGTCCTAATCAAGGTCCCTGAGGGTATGTTAGATTCTTACTCATTTTTTATTCATTCTTACTCAGAGCCTGGCACAGTAGGTTAGTTGAATGGTGAACAGAAGGACAAAGAAGGTTGTCAAGATGATCTCATTCTTTATTTCCAACTCGTCATTTGCTTTCCACTTTTATGGTTTTTGTGATATCTACCTACTAACTATATATCAATTTACTTAGCAAATCTTAAGTGAAATGTATTTAAGAGGAAAACTTAATATTACGAATTTGATATAGTATAAATGAATTTGATACTAATATCATGATTAATTATTACAGTGTTAATTTTGCACTGCCTTTTGAACACTCGTGCAGTCCACTGTATTGCCACAGTGTCTCGTGGTGTTTGAGCAGATTATGTTTGAGGGTCAGGCATTTCGTTGGCTAGCTTTGCAGGTAATTGCAGTCAAACATAAGGAAATTATTGACTTGTTCAGTAGAGAAGTCACAAAAAGGTCTAACTATGTCAGATCAGTTATACTCTCTGAGATAGCAAGAGTAAACATCCAAGTAAAAGTCTTTATAAATATTAAACAGAAGTTAAATTCCTATAAAATTTAACATTTGAGAGCTTAGCCTACTTTAGAAGTGAGTGAGTGGAACATAATGTAAATGTCAAACTATAGTAATTTTTATTTGTAGACCATTTACCCAATAAGTGTGGTACTTTGTACAGTTTTATGTGGGGGGATACAGCTTTCATTCATTGAGCACATGTTGATAGAGCTCCAGCCTTGAGCATCAGTGGTGCTGGATGTGCAGTAATGACAGACAGGCAATGAACAGGCCAGCTATTAAGTAATGATCATTTCAGGTAGTGATAAGTGCTGTGAAGGAAATAAGCATTGTGATGAGAGAGAGAGAATATGAAAAACTGAGGAGGCTGTTGTCAAGAGTGTAGTCAGGATGAGTGCAGGCTGAGGAGGGGACATTAGAGGTGGTACCTGGAAAATGAGAAAGAGCCAGCCACGTGAAGAGCTTTTAGGAGAAGCATTTCAGGCAGGTGGTATACAAAATCTGAGGTGAAAAAAGGGTTGGCGTGTTGAACCAGAAAAGGGGTCCGTGTGTGTGTGTGTGGTTCCTCTGTAGTGAGAAAGGAGAGGGGTGGTATGAGCAGAAGGAGACTCAGGCAGGAGCCAACTCAAGCGGAGCCTTGATGGCCAGTGGGAGGAGTGTGGTTTCTGTTCTAAAAGCATCAGGATGCCAGTGAAGAGTTTCAAACAAGGGAGTGAAATGCACCCTCAGAGCAGATTGTGTATATACCTATATTATTATTATGGTAATTTTAAGTAAACCTGTACTTTTACAGATTTTAAAATTCAGCAAGTTACTTTATAGTTGTGTTAGATGTCTTCCCACAGTGTTTTATATAGCGTGATATTTCATTGTATTAGTTTTGATTGAAATACTTTATTTACTTTTAAAGTCAGTGGTAAACTTTTTATTCCTATGACCAGCACTGCACTGATTACCTCATTTATTAAGGAAAGAAACCAAACAGCATAGTATCTGTAAATGAAGAAATTTTGTGGAATTGAAGAGATTCGGTAGAGCAAATTGACAGTTTATTTTAGTAGTTGTTTCAGTGGAATTTGACTAATAGGGGAACAAAATCTGTCCTATTAAAATAATTTCTTTCTAGAATCCTGATACTCCTAAATAGTCATTACACACTTAGTTGTGTTCCTCAGCCAGATGTCACCGTCATAAGGATGTATTTGATTGTAATACCTAATAAAGTTGATTTATGTGTCTTCTGATAAAATCTGAGCTCTTCATTAATGCTTGAATGATTTTAGCAGTCTCTTGTAGTGCTCAGTACCCTTGAACTTGCCTTTTTTTAATATCCTGAGATGGGTATAGTTCAGGCTCACATTTTACGTATAACTTTGAGAGTTCTTCACCTGATACTCTAATTAAAGAAATGTATTGTGTGAGTTTGACCTTTTGATTTGTTTCTTATCCTTACTGTCTTTTAAAAAGATGAGTAAACATACTTTGTCTGCTGAGGCCTCAAATATTTGTCTCATTCTAAAGCTGGATTAAATTTTCATCTAGTTTGAATGTAATTTAGAGATGTAAAGTATCATTTTCATGACTTTATCATCAGAAATAATTTGCCACCATAGTTCCTTTTTCTTCCTGAATTTATTCACTGTTACCAGGTCTTTTCACAGATGGAAATATTCTCTAACTGCCATAGATTTCAGTGTAGAACGTTATAGATGGGCTGAGTGCCAATTCTGAAAGGGAAAGCTAGACATCTAAATTTTAGAATTTGACTATTAGAAGTGGTAGAACACATAGAAACTTTTTTAAAGCTGTATTTAATTCAGTTTGGATCTATCAGTGACACATTTAAAAATTTGGAAAACTGGGAGAGTTAAAACAGAAAGAAAAAAGGATTACACTCTGCAAAAATGTTGAAGGATGAAGGGTTTTTTGTTTTGTGCAGAGGATCCAAGTGTGACTTATATATCTTTATGGTCACGGACACATGGACAAGTAATGTTGACAGAATTTCCTTTGTCTCTAAAGAGATCAGAAAAAGGATAATAGGTTTAAATATAAAGTAGCTATGATTTTGGGTTATGATTAGGAGCCTCTTTGGCTAGTGGTTATGGACATTACACAGGGAACAAATCAATAATTAGACTCTATTGTCATCCTTATGTTAGGAACCTATGTCTAATGGGAAGTCTTTCTCAATTGGCTCAGTACCCTCTTCAGTACTGTAAGTCATTCTTACGGGGCTAGGTCTGCATGTAGAGGGAAGGGTAAGTTAGGTTCTTGCTTTACCTGATAACTATAGGGCCATTATGGTGATCAGCTAGAATAGGTGTTTTACCCGTTCAAAATCATGTAGGTGAAGGGAGTGCACGTTATAGATTTCAGTCAAGTTCAATTCAGCTCTTGGTATGGCTACTTAAATACTGTTTAAGAATCCTTATAGCTTAAGTTAAATCTTGTGATCAGCTTACTTTCTGACTTCTAAATTGATTTATACAGCAGTGGTGAATCTAAGAAAAATAATTCTCATTGGCTAGTAAATGTTTATAGTAATAATCAGTTCACAGTATTTTCTCCGTACCGGGAGGTGGGACTGCTTGGAACCCAGCTTAGAAGGTTGTCTGTCACCATGTGGTTAAGGCTGTTCTGTGATTGTTTGTTTTAATTATAAACTTGGTTCCTAAAGTATTAATTCCTTGGATTTCATTGCCTTTTCTGAGCTATCTAGTATCAGAAATTTCATCATTTTCTTCAGGAAACATTTCTCAAACTTATTTTACGGTTTCACTCTTTTATGTGTAATAAATCCCATCAGTAGTATTGTTAACAAAATGAAGCCTTTCTTAAATGCAGAGGTGGAGTGAGTTGGGGTGGGGGTTGTGTATAGTGTGGGGAAAAAAATGTCTTCATCTCACCTAAGCCCATCCTCCCAACTAAGTTTCTGATTATCTGTCTGTGTTATATATATATATATAGTATATACCTCTTATAGGCCACAGTACTTTCTTTTCTTTGAGCATGCCTTTTCTGTTTCTTTCTCTGTGCATTGTTTAATTATTGCACGGTCTTTCCATCTATTTGAATATAATCCATTCTCTTTGTTTTTCTGTCTCTGTACATTTGTTTGATTATTCCCCCTTTCTTTCCATCTATTTGAATATAATCCATTCTTCACTCTATTTACTCATATATCCTTTGTGTCTACTGCAGCCCAGTGTTATATTTTTTCTTTATGTGCAACTTCTGGCCCTTTTTGAACTGTTGTTTATTTGTTGTATCTAGGGTCTGTATTTTTAATTATTCTTATGTATAAATTTTGATTTGTCAGCTAAATCCTAATTCCTATGAAGGCAGAGATTCCTTCCCATTTTCCAAGTATCCTCCATTTAACCCGGTGCTAAAGACATTGTAGTAACTCAATATTTATTATTGGAATAATTGTAGTTAAAAATGGTGGTGAAGTGTTTTTATTGCATTAAATGGTCTTGGAACTTAAATATGAGTATTTTTTTCTGATTTCCCTTGAGATTAAATTTTGACAATGAAAGAGAAATCTGTGAATAACTGAGGTCTGTGTTCACACTTTACTATTGGAAGGGAGGTTCCATTAAAGGATGCTCAATTACCTGCAGATTCTTTGAATAGAAGCAAGTGTCAATAATACGTGATGTTTAAGTATTCTAATTCCAACTTCTGCCAAGACTCTGAAAAGTAACTGTGAAGATGGAGGGAACACTGGGCTTTAAATTATTGAAAAATTACAAACCAATACTCCAGTGGTTGCCGTTAATATAAAAAATACAAACAATAATACTCCTATTCTTTCAACTTGAATTATGTTATTCTGAGTTAAAAAAAAAAAAAAAACAGGTTGATTCCCACATGCAGAAGTTCAGAGGGCATTGCTAGGTGTAAATGGTGAAGCACAGTTTATTTACATGTAGGTCAAAGTTAAATCCATTATGCTATATGACTTCAGACATATCACTTAACTCCTCTGAGGCTTAGTTTCTTCATTTATAAAATGGAGACAATAATAACCTACCTCAAAAGATTAGAGTGAGGGCTAGAAAAGATAGGCCATCTAAAGTACCAAGCATATTAATTGGTCTCTTCATAGGCATCTAACGCATGTAAGTCCTCTTTTGCTCCTTCTCCCTCATGTTAGATACACATTAATTAAAAGTCTAATTTAAAGTTTTTGCCTTCATACTGTAACATAGCACATTTGATATTTGTAAGGAAATTATTCCTAACTATTAACAGTGATCCAATGGAAAATTAAACTTTGAAAAATGATGTTAAATAATATACGTGAATAGTTTTAAAAGAAGTAGTGTTTTTTGTTTTACTTCAAAGTTATACATTTTGAAAAAATATTTAAAAATATATTTAATATTAAGCTAAAAATGTATTAAGACATTGTTGCTAGTTGGAGGAGTAAAATAAAATTTTGCCACCTCAGTAGGGGCAATAGTATTGCAGTAAGCTATTTTAACCAGGTTCTTTGGGTACTGGAGTTTTCTGGCTAAAAACCCTTTTGTCTTTTACATAAATAATTGCAAGTATAATGGTCTACTTTCTTACCTTAGAAAAATGCATGTACGGAAGGTAGTAGCCTCTTTGTAGACTGAAGATCTTTTGTTCATTCATTCTAAATGGCAGTATAGATGGCCTTATTAAGTAGGAAGAGATTAGGCCAAAAATAAGCACAAGGCATACTATGAGAAGTTACCGACCTTCTGCCCCTCTTGCCACCTTCAAATTCCTAACATCAGTTTTGCTTTAATTTTCATATTCCCACTTCTTCCTGAAATGGAGTTGAAAACATATCTAACAAATTAGATATTCTGGTTTCTTAAAATTTAAAATTTATTAAAGGGACTTGAGAGATTATTTAGTCTAATACCCTCATTTTATAGACTGAAGACCTGAGGCATAGGTTAATTGACTTGCTCAAGCGGATTGACTAAGAGAAACAAAGATGGAGGTGCCCTTATTAAACTGACACTTTAACAGTGTCCCAAATTTTGGTGGTTATCTTTGATCTTCTTTGAAACAGGTAGATCGACACTTGAGAAAGCTGGATCAGGAACTGGCTAAGTTTAAAATGGAGCTGGAAGCTGATAATGCTGGAATTACAGAAATATTAGAGAGGCGTAAGTAAAATTTACAGTTCTCCATCAATATCGGACAGTACATGTGCAACATCAAATCACTGAGAAGACGTGTGTCCTATAAAGGCTTTTCAGAGTCTGCCCTTCGGTGGATGGTGGCTTCCGGGGTGGATGGCTTGCACCCTTGCAGTAGGAAATGTTTGTGACATGGATACTGAGACAATATAGGATGTCATCCTTAGACACTCTTTATGAAAATAACAGTACATCATTCCTTTTTAAAAATATCCACCTATTGCTAATAAGATGAGTGAGGAGAACTAAATATAACCATCTAGAATAAAAGTTAACCCATATGTCATTAAATGTTTTGATTTAGCCCTGCCTATTTATACATTTAAACTTTAAGGAAGATCTTTTTTTTTTTTTTTTAAAAAAAAGGCCCTTTTTTCTTCTTAAGAACTACCTCAAGGCCTTTCCTCAACTGACACACACACAGTGTCTCTGTCTCTCTTTATATATATACCTGTATATATTCATATTGTATATATAGAGAGAGAGATTGTAGTTGATTCCATAACAGTTCCTGTTTTTCTTAAACTTTCCCTTATCAGTAGGAAACCATTTTAATTTTTCTTTGCAAGGCTTGACTTATCTCCTGCTATAACTTAACCCTTATCACTTCTTGGGTTTAACTTAGGACACTTCCCAAAAATGGAGGCATGAGCTTTGTTCTTAACTAGTTTAGCATTTGTTCCAACCTAAATATGATAATATACATAAAAGGAGATAAAGTGGTGCTCGGCACGGAGTAGGTACCCACTGAATGTTAGTTGAAACAAATATTATAGCTAATTTCTACCAGAATTTAATTAAAAGGGTTCAAACATCTTTTCTTTCTTGGAGCATTTCAACAGGAAGAACATGTACACGTTTCTGCACATAGATGAAAGTTTATTTTCGGTGTTAGGTTATGCACCTCCCTGTATGCTCACTAGACATCAGCCGGAGAAGAAACCAGGCGTGAATCCATCTCAGTATCCACAGTTGCATTTTTGTATTCAAAAGTAGATCCATCACTTTAGATGATAATCTGTTTGTGGTACTTTTTTTTTCTGATGGAGCTCTAGAACTGAGGACAGTAAATATTTTGAGACCAAATAAAATATTCTGTAGTTGTTTTGATTTTTTTGGAAATGCTGATGATAGCCATGAATAACTAATTCATGCCTATTCAGTACTGCAGGAAGGTTACTAAAGCATCCTCACTAAGGGCACAGACATACGAAACTAACTTGGATCAAGTTATAAAAGCTGCTTCACCCTGTTTTCTGCCATAATTTCATCTCAAGGGATCAAAAATAAACCCAGAAAATTTCTTTGAAATTATTTTAAAGCTTGGTGGTAGAGATTCTGTTCCTCACTTTTCACAAAGAAAATCCCTAACTTCTTTTAGGAAGTTTTTATTATATCATTTTAATGATCAAAGAATTTTCTTTCATACAGTAATGTCCCCATTGCCTAGAACTTCAGGATCTCCCGTCAAAAGGCTTTCAACTCAGTAAAACTAGGTTGAGTTTTTCAGCTCTTATCAGTAGTGGGGTTATAATGTCTGTTCATCCTTTATGTGGTACCCACTGTGGTAAGTTGCCTGATTAGACATCAGCATGCCTTGAGCCCTTTTGTACTTAAGGTGAATATTGGGAAATGGATCGTCTATTGTTTAGAGAGAGGATAGCTCAGGGTGAAATGGGCAGTGGTGACCCTCTAACATGTCTGGCTAAGATGATGCTACAGGCATGTACATCAGAGTTGCCAGTGCTCTGCTGGGTAGTGTGGGATGCAGTGCCTGTACTTGGTTGATTTTTAAAGCTCCTTGGTAACATTTAATGGTGATGTATCTCTGTGCTTCTGTCTTTTTTTTTAGGATCTTTGGAATTAGATACTCCTTCACAGCCAGTGAATAATCACCATGCTCATTCACATACTCCAGTGGAAAGTAAGTTTGGTTTAGTGCAACTAAAATGTTAAATACAATCAGAATATTAACTACAATCATTATGTTACATGTATATTCTCTTTTATTAGTTCTGCATACTCTATTGCAAAATAAATATCTTTCTCTTCTTTTTTTTGTGGGGTATATTTTTTCACTGCAATTACTGACTTATCTTTTTCATATGGGAAATGCATATTTGACTTGGGAACAATCTTCTCCCTGGAATTCATAGAGGAAGAATGTATAGTGCTTCCTACCTGCAGTACAAGCATGCTAGACAATAAACTATTGTGTGGTAGGCCCTTTTTTCATCCTTGTTTCTCCACTGCTTAGAGTATACTGTTTGTTGGGCATACAGTAAGGTCTCAAATGGTTAGTGAGTTTAGTGAGTAAATGAATGGTTAGATAGATGGCTGTTGGGGGGTGGAGGGGTGCTTCTTTTGAAAAATCAATAGTTCAGTAGACAGATTAATTGGAAACTTCTGAATTCTATATAATGTTTTAGAAGCAAAATTTTCTTCAGGTTATATGTGAAATCATGGTGCATCATGGGTTATATTCAGTACTTTGCTTCTGAAGTATTTTAAATGTCTGACAAATCTACCTTTAATAAATAATCTGCCAGAATTCTACTGTTTGACCCATCTTCTGAGAAAAATATCGATCTGTGTTCCACGAGGAACCCCGAGCCTAGCTGTATGGGTTTCTAACTCGATAGAGCTACTGTGCCTTGTCCATCGTTCTCTAAAATGTAAAAACACATGAATTCTTTCTTTATATTCAGAAAGGAAATATAATCCAACTTCTCACCATACAACAACAGATCACATCCCTGAAAAGAAGTTTAAATCTGAAGCTCTTCTATCTACTCTTACATCAGATGCCGCTAAGGAAAATACACTTGGTAATTTTATTATTGAATATAATTGTTTGCTTTTTTGTTTGTGTTAGAATATGGGAAAATGAAAGCAGTTAGGATTAATGAATCATACAGTGTCTACATTTGGTTAAAGTCTATATATGGAGAAAGAAGAAAAAAGAAAAATATGGTAACATTCAACTCAATCTACAGTGATAGAAAATTTTTAAATTTAATGATTATATCTGTGCTGGGAAATTCTGTATTTTCAACTCACTAGTATTACATCTCTCGAACCATTTTTATTTTTTCTTTACTTCTACATAGGATGTCGAAATAATAATTCCACAGCCTCTTCCAATAATGCTTACAATGTGAACCCCTCCCAGCCCCTGGCATCCTATAACATTGGCTCATTATCTTCAGGAACTGGTGCCGGGGCAATTACCATGGCAGCAGCTCAAGCAGTTCAAGCTACAGCTCAGGTACAAAGGAAAAGGTTTGGAGACAGAATGGTACATTTTGTCTGAGTTATTGGCCAGCCCTAATAAAAACAAGTCAGTGTGAATGAATAGAGATTTCTTACATTGTATAGTTTCCTTTTTTTAAAATTACAGCCTTATGATATCTGATAGTTTATTTAACAAAATGAATATACAGGAAGTACCTGATTGATAATGAAAAGTAACAAATAGATTGACACAGTCTTACGCAGATCCCTTCCCACAAAAATTGGACATATTGCCTGTGTTCTTGGCTGCAATCCACAGCACATGCTAGGGTGAACAATACTTTCATCTCTTTACCAGTTCCAGGGCTTTCTCTTAGCCTCAGAACTTAGGTTACTTGAGTTTGTTCACTTCTGTACAATGTGTCCATCTTCCAAATTAAGAAGTTAACCAATCCCTGATTACTTCATAACTGTGTAAAAGTTAATTTTAAATCTTTATATAAAATAGCTTAAATTACAGTGATGAGCAGTAATGGTTTAAACACAGTAAATACTGGATAGAAGAAAATAATACTGTAACTTGTAAGACTGAGAAAGAAAATACACATTTATGTATGTTAATACTATCAATGAATGTCTATTTAAGATGAAAGAGGGACGAAGAACATCAAGTTTAAAAGCCAGTTATGAAGCGTTTAAGAATAATGACTTTCAGCTGGGAAAAGAATTTTCGATGCCCAGGGAAACAACTGGCTATTCATCATCTTCGGCACTCATGACTACGTTAACGCAGAACGCCAGCTCATCAGCAGCTGACTCCCGGAGTGGGAGAAAGAGCAAGTACGTTTTACTGTTACAGTAGCCCTGTACCTTTACTAAGCACTCAAGTCTACTTAGCATCCCAGCTGGACTTCTTTATTTTAAACATCAGGCTATAACGGATCAGGACAGGATGAACATTAATTTATACATTTATAATTATATTTATAATTTAATGTTAAATATTTATGCTTTTGATGTCATTCCATTTCTTCTGGATGATGAGCAAATAAAACTGATACTATTTTTTCAGAAATAACAACAAGTCTTCCAGCCAGCAGTCATCATCTTCCTCCTCCTCCTCTTCGTTGTCATCATGTTCTTCAACATCTACTGCAGTGCAAGAAATCTCTCAGCAGACAACAGTAGTACCAGAATCTGATTCAAACAGTCAGGTCGATTGGACTTATGACCCAAATGAGCCACGCTATTGCATTTGTAATCAGGTAAAAGTCCAGTATTTGTCTGTAGAAGCATAATCTGAATAAACTAGAAAAAAGAGAACTGTTTAAGGACTGTTTTTACTCCATTTAAAACATCTTGGCTCTTTTAATACAACTTACTCACCCTTATAAAAATGATGTGTTTGCTGTAAGTACAAAGAGTATGAAGAAAGATGTAAATCCATTATCTGTCTTCAGATATAAGCTGTAATTAAACATTTTGATGTACCACTGATATATGTCCATACATATGTACACAAATACACGAGTGTGTGTATATGAGTTTGACAGTTAAAATCACAGTATATACTTTTTTGTAACCTTTTCTCACTAAATCATGTTTATTGAACATGGTTTTTCTTTAAAGTCATTTTTTTCCTTATAACTATTTATATACAGGTATACCATAACTTATTTAACCAATATCCAGCTGTAGATTATTTTAGTGGCTTTAATTTTTTTGAAATTATAAATGACATTATGATAGACATTTTTAAAATATAATCTATTTTACACATGTAATCTCCTAGCATAATCTTTTAGCATTAAAATTGTTACAGATATTTGCTACAGAGTGCAAAAATGTTTCCTAGAACTTTATTTACAAAACTTTATGAGCATGCCCATTTTGCTAAACCCTGTCTAACACTGGATATTATTCTCTTAAAAACCATGTCACGGTTTGATACTTCTGTATCACATGATTATTTCAATTTACATTAATAGTAAGATTGGACCTTTTCTGGCCATTTTTATTTCTTCTTTTATGTATTGATGCCTAATGATATTTCTACTGTCTTTGCCATACATATTATAAAACATTTTCTTGGTTTAGGTTTTTTTAAAATTCTTTTATTCTAAAATTGCAAATTTTTGTAGTTTTGACTGGAATTTTTTTTTTATTTTTTTATGAGGTCGGCCATGGATTACATGCTTAGAAAGGCTTCCTCCCCTTTTTCTCTTCTCCCCTGATAATATGTCTTGCATTTTCTTCTAGTTTTCGTATAGTTTTATCTAGTACTTGATATTCTTTGATTTTTCCATATTTAAATCTTTAATTTATCTGCAATTTATTGTTTTTTTATGGTGTGAGTTGCCAGTCTAATTAAAAAAAAAAAAAATTAACAGTTTTCCGTTGTTTTACCTTCACCTGGTAAACATTTTATACTATAAAAGATTAAGAAAGAAATAGCCTGTAAACATTCTGGTAATAAAAGTAGGTTCCTTACAAAAGAACAAAATCAGATTGGCGTCTGTAACACTAAAAAACTAGATGGTGATGGCTGTGCTTAGCACTTTGAGGGAAAAATCAGTACAGTTCCCTCACAGTACTGATGCTCAGAAGAGTTGTTGCTCCTGGGCATAGGACCATATAAAGACTTTCTCACTCATGCAGGGGATCGGAAAGCATGCCACCTAGTTAACCCAGCCTGAAAAATTAAGTCTATTAAGAGCTTAGGAGCCCTAGTGGCACACTCATTAAGAGCTTGGCTGCTAACCAAAAGGTCAACAGTTCGAATCTTCCAGTTGCTCTGCAGGAGAAAGATGTAGCAAGCTACTACCATAAAAAGTACAGCCTTGGAAACCCTATGGGGCAGTCCTACACTACCCTAGAGGGTCCCTATGGGTCAGAGTTGACAACAATGAGATTATTTTTTGGTATTAACAGCTTAAATGAATTCATGGATTAGGAAGTTGTGCTGTAAAGTGCTAGTAGTGAACAACAAAGATGAGAAAGAATATATAGTAGATAATAAATGTAGACGTTTCAGTGGATTGTACTATTTACTGCAAAAATATAAATAACCTAACGTGATCCAAGAAGCAAAAACCTTAAATAAAAATAACCAAGAAAGAAGCTTAAAAGTTTTAAAACAACAACAACAAAACCCATCCACAAAGGTGGTTCCTGGTTTATAGAGTGAGTTATTTTAGACTTTGAAAGAACGGATAATTTCTGTGTATCTCCCCTCCCCTCTCACCCCCCCTTAAAAATGTTTTAGAAAATGATATACCCTGATTCTCAGTGTAATTATATATTCATATCATGAAACTCATTGCTGTTGAGTTGATTCCGACTCACAGCGACACTATAGGACAGAGTAGAACTGCCCCATATGATTTCCAAGGCTGTAATCGTCATAGAAGTAGACTACCACAGCTTTCTAACTGTGGAGCTGTTGGTGAGCCTTATATTTCCCTCTGTTTTTGACCGTATCATGAATACCCTTGAATATCCAGTTACCTTGGATTTAGATGCTTGTTATGTAGCCATAGTAAAAATACTTAATTTCCTTTTATCAGGTATCCTATGGTGAGATGGTGGGATGTGATAACCAAGATGTAAGTATTGAAAGTTTCCTGTTCGAGATTGAAAATAGTCATAGGTTATTACTTGAATATTTTTCTTTTGTACTGTGTCTCTTGGTCTAAGAAAACAGATTTGCAGTTATGTTAATTTGGGGATATCGATAATCTTAAATATTCAGTCATGTTGTATTAACAGATGTATTAACTATTCCTCTCCAGAAGTGGGTAATGTCCTTTGATTTGTTTCCAGTTAATTTTATGGGTTTGTGTAAAGGTCATATTCTCCAAGTGTAATGCTGTATGAAAATTAGAAATACTTCCTCTTTGTTTGCTAAAGAATATTGTGTCTACTAGAATATAGTTCGTTTACCACCCTGAAGATCTGGAACCTAAAAACAATACGTTCTTTTAGGGAGCATGATGTTAAGGTGAAGGGTGGGAATGTCGGGGATCTAGTGTGAAAGTTTTTCCTCCTGTTGGTATTTCCTACGTACTCTTTGCAGATGCCAGCTAATAAGAGCCATGCCTGATAATAAAAGAAGCTTGAAAAGAAAGACGTCTTATTTCTTTTTTAGGAAGCTTATTTTGTTTAGAGATTTTTTTTTTGTTTTTTTTTTTTTAATTAACTGCTGAGTATCTTTTTGTCTTGTAATTTTAACCCTTAAGCTTTCCTACCACTCAGCCCCCTTTTATCATCTTCATTCCGTTAAAAGCAGAACACTGAGTTCTATAGAACTAGTGATCAGGAACATCAGAATGCTAACATTAAGACTAAGAGTTTTGATTTTGTCAGACAATCTGAAGATTGAGGAGGGTTGGCTTGCATTAAAATTTGCACTTGCCCTGATCTGGGAGGATACCAACATGTCTTCTTAGGTGCCCAGCCATTTTAAGAACACAACTGTAAACTGTCTTCAAGGATATTTAGTGAAAATGAATGAGAGTTCTGTGAATAGCAGTGTTTTACACTCTGATTCCTTTCATTCCCGGGTGTGCTCTTGTGAGTGAGCTTTTCTGTGGAAGTGGAGAGCCGCTTAGTATGTTGCAGAGAGGAATACTTTTCTCTGTGCCTCTAGGAACAGGTACACCAGAAAGGAAACCCAGGCGTCCCTTTATATCTTCAGTTACAACTAGCTTATTCCACTTTATGAGGGAGTGAATAAGGCTGAATGTGCAATGAAATCTTTAAAATCCTTTTATCTTCTATCTAAGAGGTGCATCCGTCTCACTTCTTTTTGTCCTTGAGAGTTGACATCAATTTACTCTTCAGTTTAATAAAAATTAATGAATTTTCAGTTCTTTATTTAGGATCATGAGAATAGATTACATAACCTCAGAGTTACCAAAGATGCTTAATTTGTCTGTGTCTTCATGTCTTTATGTTTGAAGCTTATCAGATGGACTAAGTGATCTTAAATAATCTTGATCTAAAAATTCTGATACTAGGCCTCTTATTAAATTAACAGTCTACTGGGCTTTTTTTTTTTTTAAAGTGTGCTTTAAGTGAAAGTTTACAGTTCAAGTCAGTTTCTCATACAAAAATTTATACACACATTGCTATGTGATCCTAGCTGCTCCCCCTATAATGTGACAGCACACTCCTTTCTACCCCGGATTTCCCGTGTCCATTCAACCAGCTCCTGTCCCTTTTTGCCTTCTCACCTCCAGGCAGGAGCTGCCCATTTAGTCTCATGTATGTACTTGAGCTAAGAAGAACTCTCTTCACAAGTATCATTTTATGTCCCATAGTCCAGACTAATCTTTGTCTGAAGAGTTGGCTTCAGAAATGGTTTCAGTTCTGGGCTGACGGAGAGTCTGGGGGCCATGTCTTCCAGGGTCCCTCCAATCTCAGTCATACCATTAAGTCTGGTCCTTTCACTAGAATTTGAGTTCTGCTTCCCACTTTTCTCCTGCTCCATCAGGGACTTCGCTGTGTTCCCTGTCAGGGTGGTCATTGGTGGTAGCCAGGCACCATCTAATTCTTCTGGTGTCAGGCTGATGGAGTCTCTGGTTTATGTGGTCCTTTCTGTCTCTTGGGCTAATATTTTCCTTGTGTCTTTGGCGTTCTTCATTCTCCTTTACTCCAGGTGGACTGGGACCAATTGATGTATCTTAGATGGGCGCTTGCTAGCTTTTAAGACCCCAGACGCCACTCACCAGAGTGGGATGCAGGACATTTTCTTAATGAACTTTGTTATGCCATTTGACCCAGATGTCCCCTGAAACCATGGTCCATAGACCCCTCGAAGTGTTTGGGTGTATTCAGGAAACTTCTTAGCTTTTAGTGTAGTTCTACTGGGCATATTTTAATGTGTTCTCTAATCTTTAGAGGTGCTAAAAACTTTTTTTGCAATTTTGCTTTCTAGTGCCCTATAGAATGGTTCCATTATGGATGTGTTGGATTGACGGAGGCACCAAAAGGAAAGTGGTACTGTCCACAATGCACGGCTGCCATGAAGAGGAGGGGCAGCCGACACAAATAAGAGTGGCCATTCCACGTGAGGAAGGAAAAAACTTCAGCTTAATATTTTATATAGGACTTTAAGAAAAAAGAAAAGGGAAAGAAGAAACAACGCATTTCTCAGCAACTGCTTAAAGGATTTATATAGACAATCCTATAAGATCTTGAACTATAAATTTTATGGATTGTATTTTAATAATGTAAGTAAATTATTTATGCACTCCTGGTGTGCTCTGAATATTATTCCAGTTAGCCTTGGATTATTTCAGTGGCCAACACATGCAGACATTTGTACTCCTCAACCATTTTCTCAAAGTAATGGGCATTCTATAATTTAGACTTCAAAGAATTCCAACAATGAAGATTTTAAGAAAAGTATTTTATATTCAACAGGTATATTCTGCTGCATGTACTGTACTCCAGAGCTGTTATGTAACACTGTACATAAATGGTTGCAAAAAAAAAAAAAAGTCAGTGCTTCTTTCAGAAGACTTTAAGATAATGGTTTTTAAAATGCCTTTATAATAAGCTTCATTTCTTTGTGAAACTAAATTCAGCAGGCTGAAGAAAATGGTTCGTGTAATAAAGTGGGCTGGCATCCTCTAGAGTACCTAGGTACATAAACAGAAACTCCTGTAGTTAAAAACTGATCTGTGCCATTATTCTTTATATGTTTCTGCATCCAAATAGAATGCAGTTCATGAGGGTGGGAGGGGGGCTGAAGAGGGGAAAAGGGTGTTAAAGTGATACATTTTTATACCAAATGTGTTTATTTTTTTGTGCAAGTAATCCTTAAAATTGGAATTGTATTAGGTGTTAAAATAAAGTTTTTAAAAAATTACTTGTATTTATACTTCACACACTTAATAATGAAAATTTCTTGAATTCCAATTAACTTCCAAGATTCATAATCTAAAAAATGAGAGAGACCCAGAACAAGAATGCTGAGAAATCTGTGATTTCTTTACTAATAATGTTTGGAATTTGTGATGTGAAAATAAGGGAAAGACATTTTTAATGTAAATTTGAAATGCAAATGTATTTTTCTAGAACATCTCTCTGGTTTTTCCTTCAAAGTATAAGGAACATGAGAGAAGTCTAATTACAGCAGATAAAATGAAAATAATTGTTGTAGATGTTTTGACTTGAGGCAATGTGGCCAATTTCAATAAAAATCCCCCTGGATTGGAGCTTAAAGTTCAGCTTTATTGATACGAGAGTTCGTACAGATTTTGAAATCACTCTGAACCCGATGGCCGTCGAGTCAATTCCAACTCATAGCAACCCTATAGGACAGAGTAGAACTGCCCCATAGAGTCTCCAAGGAGCAGCTGGTGGATTCGAACTGCGACCTTTTGGTTAGCAGCCAAGCTCTTAACCGCTGCATCACGAGTTGGATCACTCGGGGCCATATTAAATCAGGCTGCGGGAGATCTATAAAGTACTTCTGAATTTTAATCTATAGGTGCTATTTAAATTATAAATTTTGCATAGTGGAGGTTTTATTTAAGGTATAATATCAAGTTCTGGTCAGTAGAAAAGTCCTTAAAGCTGTTTAAATATTACATCATATTTCTTATGTATTGAACTTACTAGGTCTGTCAGATTTCTGCTTTAATTAAGACCACATATGAGCCTCTTAGAACTTATTCAGAAAACAGTGTAAAATCTATGCAATACGACCCACAAGGGTATGGATTAGATAGGGGATTTCCAATATCTCATCCAGCTTTGAAATTCCATGATTCGAAGCTGCTGCAGTCTGATTTTATAAATGTGTCAGACCATAAAACTAAGTTAGGTTGATTTGTGGGTACCCATGATACTCAATATTTTCACAGAGATTTTATAAACTTTGAAGAAGTAATATATAATGTAGTATTCATTTAGCTTACTAGCGTGTTGCTTGGAGATGCTGAATTGTATCATTGACATCCTCTAATGATACATTAAGTCTTCACACTTTTTTTATAGGAATTGGTCAAAGGAAAAAGCCTTATGTACAGTCTTATTGTAAGAGAAAGTTCCTTGTGTGGTCAGGAACATCCTCATTTCAGCTGTTGCACAGCCCCTTTCAGTCTGTGAATTCCACTTCTTACACCACATCGCTCAGACATTGAATATTTTATGAAGTGCATATAAAGAAGTAAACCAGAATTTCGTGCGATTATTTAGTAATGTGGTGGGACCTGCTAGTATCTGAGATGCAAATTATGGGCCAAATATGGAACTACCTCGTCCAAAAACAAAAAAATGTGGCCAACTATTAATGGTTCTTTGCGGCATTTATACCAAGAGGTATAATGAGTATTTTGGGCATTATAAAATACACATTCAGAATCTTTGTTGTACAAAACTCATGTAACAATTGGTGTCACAAATAATCCAAATGTGGGTTCACAGTTTATGTAGGTGGTGAAAATTGAGGCCTTAACTGCTGTGGAGTGTATATTAAAATGTTCGTGGTGACACATGTAAAGCAATAAATGGCTTAAATAAATGCCTAAACGATGCTGAGTGTTTGATAAACATACAGTCATTCTTTCCAAAGGCAGTTAATTATTTTGCTCTTTTCTCTTTTAAAGCAAATTCCACATATTGTAAGTTTTTTAAGCCCAGGTTTTTGTAGTGCTGTCTGTCGTTAGACCTTAGAAATGGTCATGTAGATCTCATTAATTAATTTCTTAAATCTTAGAGAAGTAAATGCTTAATAAATGTGGACTGTAAGGGGGTAAGAAACTCTGAATGTGTAGCTATTGCAGTGTTTTTCCTTGACTTTCACAGTTTTCTTTTTAAAGAAATCTTTTCAACAGATGTAAGAGAAAGGGAGTATCTTCAAAAACATTTTTATAATTTTACAAATGTTAAGCACTTAGGTGTTGAAAATACAGATGAAGGTGTGTGTGTGTTTGTGGGAGAAGTGGGGAGGACTGACATGTTAAATAATTGTCTATATTATGGTAAATGCTGTAACACATGGATGTACAAAAATCTGTGGGAATGTTGGGTGTGGATTACTTTGATCGCAACAATCAACAAGACTTAAATGAGGTATCATTTGAACTGAGTCCTAAAGACAGATGAAGTAGGGAAGGTTTTCAAAGCAGAAGAGACAGTTCAACAGCCATGTGGGTTCTGGAAACTTAAAAGCAGGCTGTACCGAGTGGAGAATGTGGTTGATTCATGTAGCGTCTGTCAGGGAAAGAAGCTGGAAGTGCAGGCAAGCGTCTATTCATGAAGAGCATTTTACACTCTGCCGTGGAATTGCTTATAGAAGTAGTAACATTTACATATTATTGGTTAAATATGATTATGTTAACAGTTTAATGAAATAGCACTTATTAAGATTATAAAGTAGGGTTGACTTCAAATCAGTCTATAACTTGGAAATTGCTGAAAATTTTTAAATTTTAAGGGGAATCTTTTCCTCCAATTTTTGCTAGTCAAAATTTTTCGATTTCCTTATTCTGATTAGAAAATCTAAATTACTGAAACAGATTGTAATTTCTGACGTGTTGTTCGTTGCCATCGACCTAGGATCTTAGTATTCATGATTTGATTCTGCTACAGAGAAATCTTCATGACCTTTCATCAGGGCCCAGTTGAGAAGCAGACACTTTCCTGAAGCTTCCCTTGTCACCTCCCAAAATGTGAACTCTCTATATTGGTTCTCTGTGGCATTTGGCTTCTCTCCCTCTTAGTTGTGGCTGGGATATGATATGCTTATCAAACCTCATTTCCTTTTCCTTCTAGGCATATAGTTAGGTCTCACTTCCCAGCTCAGTTTCAGTTAGGTGAGCCCAAAATGTGGGCAAAGTGATGTATTCAATTTGAAGTTTGCACCCTAAAAGACCTACACAATCTTTTATGGCCTCTCTCATGCCTCCTCCACTGGTTGAATGCAGAGGATCCCAGGAAACCAAAACCAAAACCAAACCCGTTGCCATTGAGTGAATACCAACTCATAGTGACCCTAGTAGGGGTATCCATATGCACCTCATGCACAGCCACCACCCGTCTGAGTGGAGGCTTGCATGTTGCTATGATGCTGAACAGGTTTCAGCAGAGCTTCTAGACTAAGACTATGAAGAAAGGCCTGGCAGTCTACTTCCAAAAATCAGCCAATTAAAACCCTATGGATTACAAGAGTTTGATCCTCAACTGATCATGGGGACCAGACATGGGGGTACTGACTTGATGATAGCTAACCAACAAGGGTATGGAAAGTCCCAAGTGGAAGGATCCTGGGTACCAAATGTCTGAGTGGAAACTGACAAAAACACCAGAAAGTGACGTGAGTGAGAAATCTTTATTGTATCAAGCCACTGAGATTTTGTTGGCCTCTGTGGGTATAGTATCAAAACACTGAGATTTTGGTATAGTAGTTACTCTACCCTGACCAATATGTCAAAATGCTTGTTATGTTTTAGTCATTTCTAATTCGTCATATTTCTTCTATTTGCCTAGGGTGATGTTTTTGCATAATAGAGATTCAATATGTGATTCGTGATTTAAAATGTCATCCTATGTTCAGAGCTCACGGGGGACAGTTTCTAGAGTCAGCATTAGATGAGAGGTGGTAGGAGCTGCAAAGAGGGCAGTCAGACTTTCCAAGGAAGGTGCTGGAAGGTGAGTGACCAGGGTCTGCTGTCAGCAAGGTAGCACCCCAGGACTTAATTCAGAGCACCACCACTAGTAGCTACAGCTGGATGTTACATCACCAGCCGTCAGGGGCTGTCTTAAAAGAGAAAGGCTGTCTCCTGCAGGAAACCAAGATGGCCCAGAATCTGAAGACTTCCTCTTCTACCAGGTTGCCACAGAGAAGAAATCCATGTCAAATTGTATTCCTGAAATCATAGCATTTTGGAGCCTCAGGTGACCTTGGAGCTTATCTAGTGATGACTGAAGCCTCTATTTTATGAGAAAGCTGAGACTCAGTCAAATTATTTTCCCAAGATTCCCAATCCAACACTGAAATTTTATGTGCTACAGATCTCTCTATGTGATCCAACACTGGAATTTTATGTGATATATCTCTTTATTCCTTTAGCTTACAAAATAAATTTTTAAAAAAGAACTTTGTCAAACGATGATTGTTTGAATGCATCCTCTCCCCCGACCCCATACCAAAAACCAAAATGAAAAATATGTGTGATGGAAAAGTATATTTTGTGTAGGAGAGGTTTAGGGAGAAGATTGTTCTGTTTCATGCAACCTTGAAATGATTGGATTCTGAAAGGCCTATCAATCTATTGTCTCAAGTGAATGCCGCCTAAACATAAGCCCTTGAGTACTGAAAATTCTTAGCAGAGGGGGTTCTTTTTGAAACTATATGCACAAAAATGTCTGCACACTGTCAGAATCCACAGGTTGATAGTTCTACCGCACATTTACCCTCCCACTCCCCCTCACTGAACCAACTTATTCTCTGTCTTTATTGTTCACTGTTCTGGCTCCTTCAGACTCCAACCCATGTTCTACTTAGCTTTCCATTCAAATAGGTCCAACCTACCACTCAGGCCTAAATACCTCCCACGTGTCATCACCACCTAACGCCCACTCCCATCCCACCCTTGCCCTTGATATTCTCCCAAACCAGCCTCTGCCACTCACCTTCACCTCACAAAGTAAAGGAGAGAGAACTCATTAAGTACTCATGTTTGCTTTTGGTGTTCTTGTGTTCCATGAGGCCCATTATTTGGTGATTATTTGTTCACGTGTCTGATGCCACACCAGACCGTCAGCTCAGTGAAGGATTGAGCTCAATGTCAGGATCCAAAACATCCCCACATGCAATCAGCAGGCATTTATCCAGCAAATGTTCACAGGATGCCTAAGTGCTTTCCGTACATCATCTCATCTAGGCATGCCAACAGCACTTCGAAGGAAGCCTTACTATCCTCATTTCACAAAACAGTAGGGCTGAGATTTAAAGAAATTAAATCACTTGTTTAAGAACAGCTTATAAGTGGCAGTGTCAGGATTCACATTTAGATTGGATTAATTCTAAAATCAGTGTAGTCTATGGACCAGCTTAGTCTATTTGGTAGTAATTTCTGTTAGATCTTCTTTTCCATGTCTTCTTTCCACCTTCTCTATAATTCTCTCTCTCATGCAGACATCACTTTATCTGCTATCTTCTACTTCTTTGGACTCAATGGTTAAGATGGGGAATATGGATTCTTCAATCTGTCAGCATCATTTCTGGAACACTAATTTTCCACAATCATACTGGTTCCTGTTAACTGAAGTCTAGTTATAGCATCTTCTTAAAATTACCAGTGCTGTTATCTTTCAGTTTTCCCAGCCCAAAGGCAACTTATTTTAGCATATGATTTACTTTTGTATCCTGTATGCAACAACTTAATCATGCATAAAACGATCCCTTAGAGTCTTCAAACTCTCTTTTTCAGCCTTCTTGACAATAGAAATGCAAGTCCTTTTATAAAGTATTAAAATTGTTTGTTTTTTAAGCAAGGAACTATATAGATGCCCAGGTCTCTGAGTCTATAATAGCTGGTCACCCCTAGGGGGCGCACCGTCTCACAAAATATAAGGGGCTGACAGCTGCCGCCTAAGGGATGGGCTCTTTCTAGGCGTGTGGTCTCACGGAAGAAGTTCTTCCCCACAGGAATGAATTTGGGTTAGAAACAGAAAATCTGTTTAGTTTCATAGCCTTTGAAGAATGTCTGCTTTGAGCCTAAAACAGTTGGTAAAGTAAAGAGTGGGAGATGGAGCAACATGCTCTATCTAGACAGATTACCTTTCTCCTTAGTAGTTCCTTGAGCTGACTCAACAAAGCGGATGGAGTTTGCAGAATTTGCCCTACTAGGAGGATCCTTGTGGTGGTCTGTATAGAATTAGATTGAATTGAATTCTGGACAAAGCCTTCTGCTTATCCCTTTCTGCCAGGCAAAAATTAGCCAATATCTGCAGCAATAGATTGATTTTAGAAGTGAAAAAGTTGCTGTCAAGGCGATTTCTACTCACAGTGACCCTACAGGAGTAGAAGTGCCCCATAGGATTTTCTAGGCTGCAATCTTTAGGGGAGCAGATTGCCACATCATTCTCCCACAGAGCCAGGGGCCGACTATCCAATAGACAAGATAAACCCTGTGCTTACCTTGCTTACCAGATCTTCTGTAGTGAACAATTTCACATTTTTTCACCACATCAAAGATTCTGCTTCTAGGTATGGCTGGCATCTGTCTCCTTTCCAACCCCACAGCAGCTTCCTATGGAATCAAAGCTTCGTTTCAAATTTACAGTCCTTGACAGGACTGTAATGACCCATTAAGCAAGGTAAGCACACATTTACCTGTGTGGGTTCGAACCCCCAGCTTTTCAGCTAGTAGCCAAGTGCTATGCCACCAAGGCTCCTTTCAAGAGTAAAGTGTTATGCAATTAGCCTTTGAAAAACCCAGTCAGTAGTCCAGGAAAAGAAGAAGAATAATTTTTCATATAATGCCTCAAAGCCTTAAAACAACCCTATAAGATAGATATTGTTGTTGTCAGGGGCCGTCCAATCGATTCTGATTCATAACGACCCATGTGACAGAGCAGAACTGCCCCATAGGGTTTCCTAGGCTGTAATCTTTACAGAGACCCCCTGGTGGCTCAGTGGTTAAGAACTTGACTGCTAACCAAAAGATCAGCAGTACGAATCCACCAGACGCTCCTTGGAAACCCTTTGGGGCAGTTCTACTGTGTCCTATAGTGTTGTTATCGTCAGGTCTCAGGTCTTTCTCCCGAGAAGCCACTGGGTGAGCTGGAAGCGCCCTTCGGTTAGCATCCAAGCACTTAACCGTGCGCCACCAGGGCTCTCTATAATAATAGTAGTAGTAGTAGTAATGAGTTTGGTACCAAAGCAGAGAGACACTTTGAGCTCTTTATTCCTTTGCTTACAAGAGGGTTTCATATTCTGAGGGCCAGACAGTACTAGTGACCTTCTTCACCGCATAAGAGTAACCACAATTCCCTCTAGTGAAGAACGTCTCTATTCACTCCCGGAGTTGGCTTAGTCTTACCCTCGACCTCTGCCATCAATTGCCGAAGGACTATTTGTTTTTCCAATGCTGTATTAGGAAAAAGAAATGACACGGGGCAATCAAACAGCAACCAAGTATTTAAAAGTTGTCAGCTCTGTGTAGGCAGCCACATTTCAGGGGAAACGTGACTGCTGTTGCCAATATGCTGAAACCCACGGTTCCTGATCCGAAGCAGCCTGCGGCTCCTGCGGCCCCCGAGGGCCCCGTAGCCCCGGGATTTAGCTCCGCCCCGCCGGCCGGCCTGGGCTTCGGCCGTGCGGAGCCAGGTCCCCCGCTCCCTGAAGGGTCTGTGTGTCTGCGTGTCCGTGTGTGTGTGTGTCCGCTCGTGTGTGTGTCCGTGTGTGCGTATCCGTGTGTGTGTGTGAGATGAATTGGACTCATACGACGGGTGTTGCCTTCCGATTGGTTTTGATGCTTTAGGGGGAGGACCATGGAAACTTTTTTCTGGCTAGAAGGATGAAAACTGAGTAAGTACATAGAACTTTGAGCTTGAAACGGAATGAAACAAATACAAGCAAAAGACCTAACAGTAACCATGCCCATTCAAATTGATGATTCCTCACCCCCACCCGCTTTTATGTTAAAAGCCGTGAATGCTTACAGAAAGTAGCAATTTAAAACGGAATGAAGGAAAGCAGTTAAAAAACCCAAAGGGCTGGGAGCTGGACTGCTTTAAAAACCGGAGAAAGGAGGCCCTGCTGAGGCGACCTGGCTTGCCTCCAGGCACGCTGGGCTTTAACCTGTTGCGTTCTTCAGCGCGGTTTTCAGACTCCAGACTCACTTTGTTTGGCGTTGTTTTCTCTTCTCCTCGCGGGCTGAGGCAGCGAGTCGGACTACTTCACCGTGAGTTTTAGGCGTTGTGGAAATAAGGCACTACCGGAAGCAACACTTTGGCAGCCTGCTGTACACGCAGGTTTTAGTTGCAACTGTTATTATTTTGATGTCTTTTTTTATATATACCCAGGTCAGCCACTCTTCACTGTCATAGATGGACAGGCTCTTGATAACCACCTCAGATGTTTGGGATCTATGATTCTTTGGCATGAACCTTCGGAAAGTTCTTCAGTGGGGATGGAGCACACTTAAGTTGTGGAAGAGGAAGTCAGATTTGTATCTTTCATGCTGACAAAAAATAGCTGCTATGACTTTTGCCGCAACGTGGACAGGGGCCAAGTGAAGCTGAGCTGGTCATGGTCTGTCGCCCAGGGTCCCTTTGTCGTCGGCGATTTTGCCCACGGCCCTTTTTGGTGGGCTTGGTGGTGGCGATCTGTCTGTTCTACCAGACCCTGACACTCAGAGGGACAAGGAAGCTGACAGCTGCTGTCACTGGGGCAGCCCCAAACACATCCACTGAAACCCAGGCAAGCAGATGCCAGAAAGGATTCTCTCTGGACAAACAGTGCTTCCTTCTCTCTGGTACTGCACAGGAAATCAGGAAGGTAAGAATCTCATATGCTTCACCAAGACAATTTCTGCAAAGGCAGCAGTCGGCCTCTCTGTCCTTTCTGTAAAACTAAAATTAACCTCCCTGAGGTCTGAAAGGGATCCAGGGTATAAACAGCCCAGAGAGTGAACTGATGACAGTGAAGCACATGTTACTTTAGCTTCTTAGGTTTACTTCCAGGAAGTCCTCAGCATTGTTTTCTCTCTCTTAGAATTTCACTTCATTTTAGCTGAATGAATTTGGAGGCAGTGAGAATGATGCAGAATCTTTCTAAAATATTAGGAACCTAAGAGAGCTGAAGATTTGTAGTTCAGGAATATCAATCAAACACTGACAAAACTTAATAAACATTGAGTGCCTTCTTCCTCAAAGCAGTCAGTATCAGTGTCCAGATCTTACTAGACTCAGAGATACACCAACATTCCATTTAATAATTGGTTAAACCAATTTTTAATTGATGAACACATTCCTGAAGCATTATATTTACTTCTAAAGCATTTAAAAGAATAATATGTTTCTTCAAAGCAGTTGCCACACTGCATTTTATTGTTCGTAGAATTAGAGAAATATAGATTATTCTGTACTTATACTATTCTGGTTAATTTTACTAATCTTACTTGTCAAAGGTTAAAAAAACATGATATAGAATTTCTGTTTTAATAAACCACAATGTTCATGCCTGCCAGTGAAATAATAACCTTTACAACAGTCCAGTTTAAAAGAAAAACAAAACAAAAAATTACGGTGGGAAAACCGCTGAATTTTATGCTATAGCAACTAATATGATAGTAAGCTAATTTAGGAATCTATAAGTGGTATCTTACATCTAGGGTGGAGTTTGGTAAATCTGATGATACTGGTTATGGTTTGGAGCAGAATTTCCTTTTGAATACCACCACTACTGCTATCATTACTACTAACGCGCCCATCACCATCTTGGTTCAAATACTTTTATATTTATTTCATTTTAGACTCATAACACTGTGTGATAAGTAAAGTAGGTTGTAACCATTTTACAGTAATCATAAGATGACTGATACTAAAAAGATTTTAAGACTGGCCACATGGGTAGGTATTCTGACATTGCTCATCCAAAACCCAAAGTGAAACCCGTTGCCATTCAGTCAATTCTGGCTCATAGTGACCCTACGTAGGGACTGAGTAGAACTGCCCCATAGGGTTTCAAATACTGTAAATCTTTATGGAAGCAGACTGCTATATCTTTCTCCAGTGCAATGGCTGGTGGGCTTGAACTGCCTACCTTTTGGTTAGCAACCAACTACTTTAACCACTGTGCCTCCAGGGCTCCTAATGGTTCATCCAGGGAAATAGAAATCAAGCCTCCTGGTTCCTACCATTGGACTGTTGCTCTAAATAGAAGCAAATTCAAAATTCTAATAATAGAATTTTGAAACCACAACTGTAAGAACTTACTGAAATATAAAACAATATTAGGCTAAAACAAAGAAAATCTGCAAACTTTTAAGTGAGTGACTTTTTGTTAACAATAATGTCAGGGAAAATCTTGACGAAGAATAACACAGAATAGTAGGTATTTTAATTAGCAACACTGCTAGATGAAACTTCAAGTCCAAGTGTGAGCCAATTTTCAGGTGCTATAATTGAAGAATGTGTATTTTTTGTTCATTTATACTAGCATTAACTTGCATTTGCATTTTTCTTCTGTTTTTGGAATACATCAGATTTATGATGGATATAAATTGTGACTGTTAAAGTCACTTATTTTCTTCTAATATTGATAAATGTAATTCTTTTAAAAATAGTTGAGATGGTATTGTTCTTTAAATGTCTAAATTTTTTGCTAAGAAGTTTGGGCAAACAGGTTTTATTTATTAACTTACGGCCTTTCTTACTCTCCTACTTGACTTTACAAGATTCCTGCTTTGCTTGTAACTTTCGGCATATGTTAACTGTTATTGTGTTAACTGTTATTGTAGGCTGTCACAGAAAATTCCATTTCAGCTTTGGCTCTCCTGCTACTTATAAACCATATGAAAGTTATTGGCTGCTTGTCTAAAACATTCACTTTAGAATTTTCTTCATGAAAAAAATGCTAAACACATGATTTTTCCCCTAAACTATTCAGTCTTAAATATTTTAACCATAAGTAAAATTCTAAATTCACAAGGATATTTCAGAAGCCCAGTGGAGGTGAAAACTGAATTTCCAAACAGTTATCATGTACCTTCATCTTTTGCTTAATCTTTGCCAGCCTTTGGTTTAAAGCCAATTTTTATATGAGATAGGAAGTAAGCTAGAAAGAACATATCATGCAGAAGTTAGTTAAAAACAGATATGAATTAATTCTCCTTATATGTTTCCAAAAAAGAATCAAATAGTAATCCAGTTGAAATGATTAAATATTCCTCCAGATAGCTAAAATGAAGAAAGAAATGTCCTTGGGATAAATGTATAGCTCACTCTCAAAAACAATTACTTAAGAAGTTCATTAAAAAAATAAGAAATAAAAAATGAGATGCTACATACAGTTTTCTTCAAGATCTGAAATATCCCGTTTAGGCATTTTATAGACATAGCATGGTTTCTGTCTATAAATTTGGGTTTTGTTATTACTTTTATTGGAAAACCAAAATATTCATGTTACTAGGGCTTGCCTTCAGTTGAATCCACTCATCTTTGTCTTAAGTATAATTTAAGGTTACTTAAAACAACTGGTTTTGGCCTATGGTTCGTGGATCTCAGAATGTATTTGGATATATAAAATGTCTATGAACCCAGATATTTTATGCAAAATGCTATTGGTATATGTGGGTACAGTACAGTTTTCTGGGAAAAAATCATGATTCCCTTCAACTACTCTGATCTAGAATTATGCTGAGAACCACTAAAAATGCTTAGAAACCAGTATATTTAAACTTTAATTGTGCAGTTTAAGTTATGTGTAAGGTGGGTCCAGGATGTGTAAATTGAGTCTGGATTTATAAATCCAAAACAGGAGAAAAAATCTTAAAGATTCCAAATGAGGACATTCAAAATAGGCGTTTCAGTGACTGCTACAGTATCTGCAGGGGTAAACATTCAGAAACCACTGTATACTCTCAGAGTATTTCTTGAATCATAGTTTTCATACATTCATGAATAAACAATAAGTATCTTCCAGGCTTTTTTGTTGCAGTTGTTTCTAATCTAAGGCCTTTTGTTCTTTATTAGCCTAGTAATGGGTTCTGTAGCAGCAAATAGTTGAAGGTGGTGACTGTCCCCTTTGAACCTTTACAGTTGGGATCTAGTTCAGTGTCAAAAGCTGTTTTCAGTACAGATTGAGATCATGGTATAGTATATGCCAATTTTCCATGGTGAAGAAGTACTTTCTCTCTGGCAAGATTTTCATTCTTATTTTCCGTTTGAACTTTCCAAAGGGCCTTACTAAGCAGATGGACTTTTGTCATTTCTTCTGGGTTTTCTCCCGCGTTGGTTGTTTGAATTTGGCTGATAACCTGCCATGTCTTAAATTATTTCAATTTAATACATAAATATAGTTGTGTTTTATTCACTCACTCAGTAGATTTATTTATTTTCATGGAATCTAACACTTGAATATTTCATAATACAGGAAGTACATTAAATTACAGACAGAAACAATGGAAGAAAATTTTCTTAGTCTGTTCTCCTTTAATAGAAACTTTGCTATTTGGAGAATAAATGTATACTTACCATAGCCATGAGTTTCTGATTATCTCCTGTTGATGCTCCATAATGACAAGTACTATTTCTCTGAAGTTGTCTTTTCTTTTTCCGTCTCTTGTTGAGTCTTCCTTCTTTCCCTGGACTGTCCTATAAGATTTCTACTTTCCCTAGAATCCACCGAAAGCCTAATGGGAATGAGTGAGTGTTTTCATTAAAACTTTGTGTTAATTAATTTTATTTGTGTTTCTAGTAGTGAATAGTATACTTAAGATTTGAAAAAAATTCTTGAAAATAATTTGTTTATTCCACGTTTTCTAGAAATGGACGCTTACATACTAAGACTTTAATGGTGGGTGCAACTCCAGGGATCAAAGAGTGACGAATGAAAAGAAGGAGAAGGAGGGAGCGCAAAGACAAGTGGGTACACTATCAGGAGATATAGCCGGAGAGGCTGTATTAAACTACTGCATCTGAAACAGGCATTAGGGGAAAGGGACAGGAAAGGCATGCACTTTATCCCCTGGTTTTTCCCTTCGACTGTCTTTCACTGGTTGGAGTCTGTTCCATGCTGCTCCCAGGTAGTGTTACCTGGCTCCTTGGAGCAGCCACTGCCAAAGCCAAGGCATTGGTGGCTGCAGCCCTGCTGGTGCACAGGTGAGTTGGCCTCTCCTTGTCGATCAGTATTATGCACACTAGCTCCCAGGCCTGTGGTGGCAGAGGAGGTGAAAGCAGTGTTTATAGTTTTATGACCACAGCATTAGCCCAAGTAACACCCACGAGGAAGGCAGGTAAAGCAAGACTATCTAGTGTATGATACAGTGTTGTTGTTAGATGTCAGAGAGTCGATTTCGACTCGTAATGACCCTATATGACAGAGTAGAACTTCCCCATAGGGTTTTCTAGGCTGTAATCTTTACAGGACAGATCACCAGGTCTTTCTCTCACGGAGCTGCTGTGTAAGTTTGAACTGTCAACCTTTTGGTTAGCAGTCCAGTGCTTAATCCCCTGTAAATGTATAAATGTGCTTTCATTCTTGGGAGATGGCCTCGCTTTCTCTAAGTGAAAAGTTTGTAATTATTTCACTGAGAGTTCTTGTCTCCAACTGGAAAAAAAAAAAATCATTTCTCTTCATCTTTACCTTTTTTCCTTTTCATCCCTTTCATTTATATATTCTTTTATTTCTCATTAATTTTTTAAGTATTTGTTTAGAAAATGATGTGTGCCAGGCACTGCACTAGATACTGGGAATGCAGAAATAAAAGCCACTGTGAGACAGACGGGGAAATAAATACAAAGCTAGGAAATTTGTAGCTATATGGTGACGTTTTG